TCGATCCCTTCTTCGTCCTCATCGTTGAAAGACAAGGTTTCTTCTGGTAAGTAGTTCCGAGTTCGCTTTTCCCTCGTGATCGTCACTTTGGTGCGTTTGAATACCGGTCCTTGAGGGATATCGACCCCACCAACGATCATATGAATTACGTGATGTGTCTCTTCCTGCTCGCTCTTCCTGTTTGAATCTCTGTTTTTGAAGTGGTTCTTGGCCCGATCAATTAAGAATTCTCGAAGGTGGACCTCGTTGAATAGACGGGCTACCTCCTCCCTCAGCTTTCTACAGTCTTCGATTCTATGACCATGTGTACCATGGTATTTGCACATCTGATTAGGGTTCCTTTGAGCTGGATCAGTCTGTAAGGGTCTGGGCCATCTAGTATCCTTAATCCAACCGATGGCTGATATAATACCTGATGCATCGGCACTGAAGTTGTATCCTGATAGTCGAGGTGCTTCCTTGGACCCGACATCCCTATCGAAACCACTTTTGCTCATAAGCCCCCTGGAACTCTGTCCCTGATCATTCCTTCTATCATTCCGTATGGGGTTGCGTCTGGGCCCGTTATTTCTCCGATCTCCACTGTATGGCTTGTATCTATCTTTATTTGATCGTGGTTCCCGATCGACATCCCTTTTAACTCTGTCCACAGGCTTGCTGGGATAAATCGAACCAATTAAAGTTTCTAGCTGATCATCTTCGACCCTAATCTTCGACTGATACCGATTGTGCACGTCGGCCCAAGTGACAGCAGGATATTCGATCAAATTTTGCTTCAACTATTGTGAAGCTATGGAGCTCCGAGTGTTGAGACCTTGTGTAAAAGCTTGAACAGCCCAGTCGTCGGTGATTGAAGGCAAATTCATTCTCTCTGTTTGGAACTGAGATACAAATTCCCTGAGCATCTCGTTATCCTTTTGTCTTACCTTGAAGAGGTCCGATTTCCTTGTTGCAACTTTAATGGCTCTGGCGTGGGCTTTCACAATTGAATCTGCGAGCATAAAAAATGAATCAATAGAGTTGGGTGGTAAGTTATGATACCATATCATGGCACCCTTCGATAAAGTTTCTCCAAATTTCTTTAATAGAACGGTTTCAATCTCATAGTCTTCTAAGTCATTCCCCTTTATTGCGCATGTGTAAGAAGTGACGTGCTCATTAGGGTTGGTGGTCCCATTGTATTTGGGGATTTCTGGGATAAGAAATTTCTTAGGAATGGGCTTCGGAGCCGCACTTGGAGGGAAAGGCTTCTGTACGAACTTTTTGGAGTCCAAACCCTTTAGAATCGGGGGTGCCCCCAGTATTTGGTCAACTCGTGAGTTGCACGTTTCTACCTTTTTATCATTAGCCTCGATTTTCCTTTCACCTGATTCGTTCCGCTTAGTGAGCTCCTCGAGCATCTTCATAATGGCAGGATCAATCCCCAATTCATTGGCATTCGATTTCTTCGGTACATGTTTGATTCTGTGAACAACTTCCTGCGATGTTTTGAGCTCAATTCTGCTTGGTGATTGATTTTGATTTTGGCGTTACGCGGCTGTTGAGTCTGCAACATTTCAAATATCATTTAAAGGCTAATTCTTCCTTCTCCGCCGCTCTGTGCGTTCTGATCGGCTGTTCGGGCATCTTTGCGGACACTATTTCCAGGGTCGGCGCGAACTGACACGACGGGGTCTGCGATCAGTACTCCCTCGTGGCCAGCTTGAGGCACTTCGATCTCTGGGGCGGCTACATTATCGTTTTCTCCATGGAAACCGAGGCCGTCATCGGCGTCAGTGGGTACTGCTTGCAAGTTAGACATGTTGATCCTGAAATCAAAAACACTCACAAGAACAAGCCTAAAGTAGTGTGTGTTACAAGAATTAATACCACGCAATCACTATTATCCTTAGCCTCACGGTGGACGCCAAACTGTTTACCCTTAAAATTGGATAACAATTAAACTTATAATGTGGTTTTAAGGATACTTGATTTCACCCAATACCAATTTATAAATGCAAAGATTAATAATAGAAATTAACAATGATGTGAAGCAAACCAGTGTTTGAATAGAATTCGGCCCTCGGGCTTGAATACCCTCGAATTAATTTGTGCAAGAACAGTTGAAATATATCAAGCTGATGAACAAAAATAGGAACTATAGAGAAGGCGTTATATTGCTATGATATCTCAGAGTGTAGGTCCTTACAAAATGATTAGGACCCTTTTTATATAGTAAAGGAATCCTATATATGGTACAACTCTAATTACGGAAGTAAATCCTATGATTAGCCTAAACAACTGCCTTTGATTTGATTCGTTCCGAGATTCCCGCCATGATCTTCGACCAGTCACGGATATCTCGCTTTCCTGTTACTGTGCTTTGCTCGGAGTCTGACCTGTTTGGACTCGATCGCTGTCGACCTCGATCTCGGTAGGTAATTCGATTCTCGAACTCGGTAACTTGTCTTCGTCACTTTGATCTGCTCCACTACGAGGCTAACCCTCGATGCAACTCCATGGTTTCGATCAAATAGTAAAATCGGGTAGGCCCGGTTTTAACCGTATACAGTAGTATAACTTCTCGATAATAGCGATTTAATTGAATCTTTCACTGCACAGTGGCGAAGTTAGAAATTTTTCCAAGAGTGTTAACTTGAAAGAAGAAAAAAAATTCCGTCAAAAAGTGTTCAATATATGTTATATAGCTCTAAAATCCAATATTTTCCTATATATACAATATAATTTTCTGACGAAGGATAGTCAAGATTATAGTTTCACCCCTGCCACCTCGTATAGCTTCGCTACTGATTAATGCCGTTACAAAATTAGGGTAGAGCGAAATAGATATAGATTTATATCATCTATATCATCTAATTTAGGATTGAGGCCTATTTATTTAATGATATCAGATGAAAAAGACGTACTCATCCCTTCAATATATATCATTAGTTTTGGACAGACAAAAGAGAGAGAACGTAAGAAGAAGTTGAAGTAATCATCTATGTATGGACATGGTGACGAAAGAGCCAGCACAGCTTTTAGACAGTAGAGTAGGAAGTCAAGACACGAAAGACTTCCCTCAAAACCATGCAAGAATTATGGGACATTCACTGACTTTCTTGTTCCACCCGCTAAACTCTCCTATGTACTAAGCTTCCGTTATGTACGGGGTCAGGGGAAGGGCGAACAACAAGTGTCTATTGTACGCAACCTTATCCTACATTTCTGCGAGAGATTATTTTCACAGCTTGAACCCGTGACCTCCTAGTCATGACAGCAACTTTAACAGTTCCACCAAATTTCCATTCAATTCACCCTTCATAATAAGTGTTAAAAGCAAAATTAGTCCTTTTTTTTTTTTTTTTATATAAATAGCTCCTTTGAACTCCCATTTCTAGCTCCAACCTGATAATTCTACTACAATATTCATTGATCTTTTGGGGAAGGAAATTCTTCTGTCCAAACAAAGGTGGTATTGAGGCTGATCTTTGCTGCTGAATCATTGGTTCATGAGTATTTCTAAGCATAATAAAAAGACTTGGATATGTTCTTGGACCAATGATGCAGGAGCTGAGTTTGGCTTTAGCTGCCTTTTCTTGGACTGAAGGGTTTCCTTCTCTATCCAACCATAAAAAATGAAACCACCATTAATACCTCATGTACAAACCATGTTGATGCACTAAGCTTTCGTCATGTGCGGGGTTGGGAAAGGGTCGGACCACACAGCCTTGGATCTAGATGAACAATGAAAACTCATATTTACATTCATTATCAAGATTCCCATGCATTATTCTCTAAATCAAACTTGTTTATCTTTTGTTTCCTTTTTCTTGTTACATTTCATATGAACTGCGACACTGAGAAAAATGGTAATATCTCAGAGAGAAGGTATGCATTGCATTTTCAATTTTGCTTATGCATCGTTACTGTTGCCTGGTGGAACAGTCCTTTTGAAAGTGAAAAAGAGATCTCTGTACCTAATTTTTTTTTCTTTTAAAGTTTTACCTGCTTATGGAGTTATGATATCAAAATAGGCTGAAAATTCTTGTGATTTTGTGTTTGATACGAGAAAAATGTTTTCCAAAGAGTAAGTCATTTTGTGATAATCGAACACTAAAAAATATTTACCATTACAAGGGGAAAAAAACAAGTTTCTTCGGTTATGTTTTTCTCCGATAGTCCATTTGAAATATTTTCTAAATTTAAAGAGTGTTGGATACTACTATAAAGTTTCTACTGGAAAATGTTTTAGAAAACAAAAGAGACCTTATATAATCTTCTGTATTTACCACATTCTCTTTTAAACCGTTTGCTTTCACCAGACGGGCAATGTTCCTAATGTAAGCTCGTTGTTTACTTACGTTTATTCCAGCAACAACAACAATAACAACAAACTCAATGTAATCGCACAAGTGCGGTCTGGGGAGAATATTGTATATGCAGCCTTACCTTTACCTTGTGAAGGTAGAACAACATTACTTTATGATATTACGAGAAACAAATGCGAAGGTATAACAAGCAAACTCTAAATTACAATCGAAGAATGAAAAAAGGACACTAAATGCCCTACCCTCGTATGTGAGGTCCGAGGAAGGACTAGACCATATTCAATCTATTGTACACCTTGCATTTTTGTAAGAAAAATCTACAAAGGTAAGATATCTATAAAAAAATTAAAAGAAAAAAAAATGAAAAATATACATCCAATAAAGGCAAATCATATTTCAACTACCTTTGGCTAGAATTGTGACTAATGAGCATGACTAGGAAATTTTGAGCTTGCTTGTCTCAACTCTGAAGCAAGTAAGAAAAGCTCCACAAAGTTTCACATATATAACAATCAACTTCTCGAAGATCTGAGGACCCTCATCAATCAAGCATCAAGAAATGTTCAAAAATGGCACACATTCAAAAGTAGATTCAATCATCAATACAGGTTATCTGATAATGAGGCCGCACTTGGCTACCCAGCGTTTAGCGTGGGCACGATAACTGGTACACCAGAGGTGGCCATAAAGTCTTCAGAAACTCGAATTCTCTTACTTGAATACTATAAAAGAATACAATTTTCACTAGAAACTCAAGTTTTCTTCTTATGTTGTTCACATTTTAACTCCTCGATCAAATGGAATTTTCTAAAGCAAGGTAACAACACTTAAAAGAAATTAAACCAAACCCAAATGTAATATTTTACATCCATGCTTATGCTGAAGCTACAATACAACAACGAACCTACACTATGAAGGAGGACTGCTTGCATATAACAGGGTGAAGAATATTTCTACTTCCGGTATGGCTTGGATGACTTGAATATACCTGTTCCTGTTGGGTTCTTCAAGTAGAATCTGATCCATATGGGCTATCCGTGGTAGAAGTTTAGCTAATGGCATGCCTGATGTTAAATTGGCCTCTCCGCATAAGACCCTTATGTCTTCCATCAGTACATCCACTGCTGCTTTTAGTGATATGTTAACCATATTCCCAAATTCAGCACTGCCCATAAATTTAAAAAAGGGACATTGAGTATATTGCAAACAAGTTAACCACAAAACAACAACATTGCACTGAGAAACAAAATATCGGAGAAACTTAAAACGTTGAAGAAGTTTGCTGTAGTTTTTGAATGCTTATGCTTTCCAAAACTAGGAAAAGGAAACTAACTAGGTTGATGAAGAAATAACACAGAAGCCCATTCCTTTAGGTCCTTTTTGTTTTTTTATTTTGTTTTTTGGTTGGGTGGAGGGAGCGGCGACGTGCGTGCGCGGGGGACTAAGGGTGCAAGAAGGGAAATTCAATTAGTAGTATTCATGACAGAAGCAGCTTAAAAAGGTGCAAAATTAATATCAGCTCTTTCTGTTCTTTAAGATATGGAGAAACATATATACATGAAAACTTCTCCACTATGACATGCTACAAAGCAAGTCAGATGTTTTGAAGCTGACTTGCTCACATGATTGCTCCCAGAAAAGTAGCATTGCTCACATGATTGCTTTCTTAATATTCAGGTTAACATTGTGCCTAGCGCCCTAAAGAAGCTTATATTTGATTCTCAACATAGTGATGAGCTTTTAATTACCTAACTGAAATTCATATTGCTAAACGCATGTATAGCAAGAGAAGTACCTTGACAATACAGCTTGTGTCTCCAGCATAAGTTGTTCGAATTTTGATGCATTAGAGAGATCTGTGCTGCCAGTGCTAGAACTTACATCAACATTATTTTGCTTAGAGTCCTCTGGCATAAAAAAACCCAGCCACTGATGAGGACTTGCCGTGCTCATGAAGGTGTTCAATATCTGAATAATGACATCATGAAGTACAGTAGTGTTGAAGAAATCCTTCAGCCGTTTTCTGCAAATTAGATTCAGGGTTATTTTGTAAAGGCCTTTCAGGAAAGATGTAGCTTTTAGATATACATATTGGGGATAATTACACAGAATAATCTCCAGAATCCTTAGGTTCACGAAGAAGGGTTAATCATCCACCTTTCACCTAGCAAAATATGTAAATCCTGGAGAATGGTATTGATTTTTATTCTATTTTTTTTAAGAAGGAGAATGATATATACATATCAGCTCCAACTCAACTTCAAGAAATTATGTAAGACTGCAGAAGCTTTGTCTCGCCAGCGCCCAGAAATTGGAAGATGGCAAAATGAGCAGTTGGTCATATTTATCTCATCCGAACTCATTAAATTCCATATTATATCATTTGCTTATCCATCCTGCTTGATGTTGATAATTATCTGTTTCCAGGTAAACATCCTTTAGATGCAACAACAAAGAAAGTGTACGAACACGAAAAGCGGTTCAGAGAATAACACAAATGTGATCTCATCTACTGCTTGCAAATTGAAAAAAAAAAAAGGAGTAACACTAGCCAGTTCTTATATAAAAAAGTGAAATTCAAATAGTATACGAGCATGGGTTTCAGTATTCAATATTTCATTCCTAGATCATCACTTTTAGTACTTCTGGTTAGTTGTTAGAAGTCGAAAATGTAGACATGCTTTAATGTTCTATGAAATAACATGTTGGTTTAGTGTAGAGCCCGTGCATTAGTTATTTAAGCACATCGGTTTAATTTCCCAAGCAGCCATAAACATTGTCATCGATTCAACAATCAAGAAACATTTCGCCCTCACTTCTCACTTTCCTACTTCACAAATCCCCACTGCCATTATAGAGTACTTAATCTTATCTGCATTTAAAAGAGTACAACAGTAACACTTCAATAACCGCCCTGCAGAATTCTCACCCATATCCTCCAGGTTGTCTCACTTAGTGGAGCCTCTCTTCCCCAGTTCCACATCTCTCCAACAGATTGGGCTTTTAATTTTCCAACCTTTTGCATCAAGCAGATTTTCACTGTCGGAACCAGCCATCGGAAGAAGCCCGTAGTCAAGCATATATAACATATGACCACAACTGCTAAGTATGGCTACACATTGATGGCAATACATAAATACTAAAGTTGAAATTAGAGTAATGCGGGCAGGTATAAGGCTTGAAAGCAGTTGACTTTGTTGTATACACTCTCAATTATATTAATCTTGCCATCTTTCTTAACTTGGATATTGACATTTTCATTTCGGCAGATAAGGCATAAGAGAAAAACTAAAAGGTTTGGGAAATCAAACCATCAGTTACTGGTCAGTAACTCAGTCTGAAGAACTAAAATACCATAATTGGTCAGTTACCAAATACAAACGCAAAAAATTGATACTGAACTGACGAAATACTATATAGAGATGCACATATAATGTGATGTTTTGCATGGTGAAGGAAGAGATAAGAGGCCTACCCTTTTAGAACTTCCGAATTTGCTGCTTCAAAACTAGAGATTAAGGTGGGTAGGCCAAAAGTAGTTAAATAATCTGCACTGGCCAGAAACCGCTTCTGGTCGTTTCTGTCAATCAGATCAACTTCATCCTAAGAAAAACAAAAAGAAGTGCATTTTCCCAATAAGCACAAGAACTGCAGGCTAAAATCTTACCATCAATCATATCAGCTTTATCCCAGAACAAAAGAAAAGAAAAGATATTGCACTTGCAAGAAGCACCAAAACCCTGGGCATTAAAAGATTAACACAGTGATCTTGATTTTCCTTTTACTTTGCTAATAACTAATTGAAATTCTTTTTTGATTTTAAGCTTCTGAAAGAACCTGATTCTCTGTTTCCATTGGAATATGGACCACAAGTTTCAAATGTTCTCCGTGAGTGTGTCAACGCGCATTCACACACACACACACCTATGTTTGAGACATGGGGAGTACAAGAACTAAAATTTGGGTAAAAAATCCATATACTCGATACTAGACAAAAAGGTTAAGATCCAGTTCTACCAAGAAAACATCCCATTATCCAGCACTAAGCACTAACTACATATTACAGTCACCTTAGTTCTTGGGCAGGTTCCTTCCTGTGTTGGCTCCACATAATTTTCTTGCTACTTCGCTTTTTTGCCATAATTAACTGCAAATAAGAGTCTCCTTAGTTCTGGTGTTTGTATTTTCACTTCAGTGCTCTGCTTCGTCTTTGCTTCCACTTATTTCTTGCCATTCTTCCTCGATATGGCTAGTGCAAATCTTACAATTGTTCTCATTCTGCTGGTAATAAATTAAATTAATTTAACTCCAGTTGCATAACAAGGAGATGCTCGGCTTCAACTTCAGGACTTGTATGATGTCATTTCACCATGAGAAAGGAGATGAAAAAAAAAAGGGGCGGCCCGGTGCACTAAGCTCCCGCTATGCGCGGGGTCCGGGGAAGGGTCGGACCACAAGTATCTATTGTATGCAGCCTTACCCTGCATTTCTGCAAGAGGTTGTTTCCACGGCTCGAACCCGTGACCTCCTGGTCATATGGCAGCAATTTTACCAGTTACACCAAGGCTCCACTTCCGAAAGGAGATGAAAGTGAACCACAAAATTAGATGAAACCATTATGAACCTGACAATAGGAAAATTTTGGAGATACAATTGGGTGACTGGATGTCCAAGAAGAACATGGGTACCCTTTGAATCTGCATAGGAATGCTTTTACAGAGCAATGACAAAGCATCACATCCAGGAATCTTCAAAATCCCAAGTAGATGAACATATTAACAAATCAGAAACTGCAACTTAGCCAGACATTTGACACATGATCAATACATTATTTGAGACTTAGTATGATTGCCAAAGGTAAGTCCAGGCTAGGTATAATCCAAAAAACAAAAAAAAGTTGTCTGTTTTTTGGAGAATTACAGTTAGTATATATTAATTGAATAGAATCAGCTCTGTCACGACTCACGAACAAGACAAATCAAAGAGTTAGACATATCTATTTTGTATGCCATTATTCTTTTAAGTATACAACATAAAAAGAGCTAGCCTCCAAAAGGCTGGTTGCTGCGTTCAATCCTCCTTCCCCCGTAAAACTCTCAAAGCTTGTGAGCTAATTTTAGTCCCTATTGTGTCTATAGGGCTCACGGCCCTAACAATAGTCCACACCCTATTGGAATTGTTTCCGCAACTGTAAGTCCAGGAGTCCATAATGTGAAAGTATGAAAAAGAAGGATTAGAACCCACATAAGTAGAGCATGGTTCAATAACTCTATAGTTTGCAGCCAAGCATGGAAATCCCACTTCGTTAGGGAACTTAAAGCTGCTCATGAGAATAGCAAGGTTCTCTATCAAATATCTTCAGAATTTCATTTAGAATGACCTCAAAATTGACCTACCAATTATGTGCCTGAATATTTAACTACACAAGGCATCTACTACATCACATATTTCAAAACTTAATGGTACCGAAAGTACACCAGACAAAGAGGAGCTAACTACATAATTCTATTTAGCATGTATTGTTATATAGAAAGAGTACAGACACCTGAAATATGCTTTGTAAAATATTACTCCCTCTGTTTCAATTTATGTGTCTTAGTTTGACTGGGCACAAAGTTTAAGAAAAGTAAGGAAGACTTTTAAATCTTGTGGTTTTAAACTAAAGATGTGTGTAATTATACCAAAATATCCTTGAATCATGTGGAATGTTTAAGTTGAAGAGTTACAAAATATATAAAGAGGCATTCTTTCTGAAACAGACTAAAAAGGAAAGTAAGACACATAAATTGAAACAGAGGGAGTACCTTTTTATGAATCAGAAAAGAGCACACATTATTATCAGTGAATTTTTTCGAAGTTTAATAACTGATACAAAAAAATAAAACTTGGCTTGTATTAACTTTCTACTTTCCCTTTCAATTATTATTGTTAAATTTAACGACCCTAAGAAACAGCCCATGTACAAAATTAGTCACACGGTGGACAGATAGAATTTTTTTTTTCCCGATAAGTAATGATGAGAGACAGAGAAGGTTCTGCAGTGATGAACAAAAGAACTTGGCTCTGGGCATAAGATGGATACAGAGAAGGTTAAACGGGGTAGTTAGGCAATGAAAGCAAAAGTTGGAGGTTAGGAATTTGAAATGAAGAAGGTTTCTGTAAAGAAATCAAAATTTGGAAGGGTGCTAGAGAGTATAGAAAGATATCAGGGGATATCCTTCTGTTCTACTGGTTTGAATATGTTGCAGTCTGGCAGTAGGGTACACTGTTACAGCTGAGTTCCAACCACCTCTTATCAGTAAGGGAGATCCGGATGAATTAAGGAGCTCAAGCCTAACAGAGATGTCATTGCCAACTCTGATGCAATCATTACAAAAAACTGAGAAGTGTAGAAGTACAAAAATTTCACATAATCCCAGACACCAAAACTGATCAGTAGCTTGAAATCTAAAATTACATGACCTTAAGGATCACAATTAGCGGCAAGGCTTCTCTAATACAATTTAGATACAGTGATCATCATAATGACAAGCTACCAATTATACAGTCACGAACAAGAAGAAAGGCAGCAGTTCTTACAAAATGGCCAGAACTTCCAATGCCACGTGCTGTGTCTATATAGAGATGTCTCCCTAATATGTTGACTTGAACTCTAATATATAAGCTTAGCAGTGTTGTTGCCCAGAGAGACAACACCATTCTTGTGAAACCTGGAAGACCACAACACAGAAACAAGATAAGCAAATTACTCCCTGTCAAATTTCAACGCATCAAAAGTTATAAAGCCCATTCTACATACTTAAAATTTTGAGTCTGTCCCATAGCTCGAGCTTCTGTGCAGCTGTTAGACTATTTGGCAGATCCTTTCCTTTCATCAACCTCTCTGTCAAGTGTGTGAGGTCCAATTCTTCTTCTATCTGACTACTTAAGCATTGCATTACATGAGGCAACGTCGTTGAATCAGCTATTCTTTGAATATTCTCAAAATGTGACTTCACCCTACCAATCAAACAAAACCAATTCAGACATTAATGACTTCAAGCATGACGAAACTCTTCGACAAGCATTACCATTCACGACCAAAAAAAAAAGAGAGAACGAGAGATCTTAACTGGGATTTAATGAGTTCCTCGCTTCTCCTTTGGTCGGCAAGTTCTCTCTCAAGATCAGAAAGCTTTCGCATGTGAGCATCATACAACTTATACAAAAAGTATCCACTTCCCAAAACTCCAAGTGTAACATATACCTTCCTCTTATGTCTTCTCCAAAATTCCCTATTCGAAGAAAACCATAGTCAATAATGAATGAATGATCAATCAATCAAATCTATCCGACTCCCAAACTAGTTGAACTCTGCTGTATGCATCATCTATACCCAGTCCACTCTATTTGGACCCTTTTCCGATAAAAATTTAAGTTATATACATTGACAGTGTAAAGATAGCAGGCAAGTTACCAAGAGATTTATATGTAATTGTCGAACAAGTGACACTGATTGCGTAAATATATTTCACATTTTAGATAATATAAATACTTGATAAGGTCAATTCAATGGGGACAAAAAAGAAGAAAAAAAAAAAGAAAACAGTGAAAACTGGAACAAAGTTGAACATCACATAATACAATCCTAAAAAAAATGCATAATATAAAAAAGGGAAAGAAAGGAATTTAACGAACCACATCCAATCAATTGCTTTGATTATCCTCCGTTAGTTTACACCGGCCTATGTTATGGCCGGAACTATAATTTTCCCTTCTGATAGAACTTGTAAAAGTGATGAATAGTTGTGAGGGTTTTGGGCTAAGAATTGGTTAGCTGCTTTCAAGTTTGAACTCCGAATGGGGTCACCTTGTAATTGGCAACTGTGTTTGCTTGGTTGGAGCATTTATTTAATTAAAAAGCGGCTGATATTATTATAAATAAAAACAAGAAATGAAAATAAGTCGTAGACATTTCTTGGAGTTTCTATAAATAGTATAATATTAATCCTTCCATCTCAAATTATCTGTCCAGGTTTCTAAAATAATTATCTTATATTATTTTTCATTTTAGAAGTCCAAAATAAATTTAATGATTTTTTTCTCATTTTACCTTTATCAGTAATAGCCTTGAAGATGGAGATAGATACATAAATAGAATAAATATTCAATAAAGATAGATTATATCTTAAGAAATAAATAAGGGTAAAATAGTCAAAAAAAAAACTGCCCTAATTAATGTTTCCTAAAGGTTGTATAAATATGACAGATAATTTGAGACTGAGGAGTAATTACTCCATCTATTTCCAAAGATTGATATTCTGAAAAGACACTTTCAAACACCATTTGAATTTTAAATAAAAATTTAAACTTATTTTCTCTTCTCTTTCCTCACTAACTACACTAATATTACGAAGACTTGCAATCTAATGATATTAGTGAGAATCTTCTAGATAATGTATAACGTGGGTGGTTTAAAATCTCTTTGTTTCTTTCTTCCTTTTTTTTTTTTGTCAGATCCTCTTATGTAATAGAAAAATTAAAATAAGAAACATGCCCTTGCCTCTGCTTTTACGTGTTAACATTTCACAATTATTATTTCAGATCCTCCACTTCTGCCGTTAATTATTTCCCTAATTAGAGCTGAGGCGGATCTATCCTTTGTAGGGGAACACATGCCTTCATTAACTTCGAATAAATATATTGTGTAAGGTATATATTTTGATTGGCATTCTAAGATTCAAATCTTAGACAGCTGTATTGATCGATTTAGGGGAGCACAACTTTTAATGCTACTTGGGTTCGATTTCGACTCCACGGCGGTGCGCTCCCCCTTTAAAATCCTAGGTCGGCCTCCGAACTAGAGGGAGAGAAAATTTCATTTTTGGACAAAAGCTCTCTTGTGCATTGATCCCTTAACAATGAAAGAGGCAAATTTGGTTTCAAATGCTAGAGAGAAGAAGCTTCTGTGATCCTTCTGGTCTCTCCAAACAAGACTGGACTAATAAAATACGCTAAAAAGTTTTAAACTATCAATCTTTCACTCTCTAGTTAGAAACATGCCAGTGTAGAGCAAATTCGTGTTTATTTTAAAGAGGTGAAAATTAGGGGTGTTCATAAAAACCCAAAAAATCGAACCAAACCAAAAACCAAACCAAACCGACCAAAAAAACCGATACTTTTTGATTTGATTTGGATTTGGTTTTGAATTTTAAAAACCGATCAAATTTAGTTTGGTTTTGGTTTTAATCAGAAAAAAAACCGAAAAAAACCGAACCAAACCGACTATAGGAGTAGCTATTTCAAATTTATTATTACACCTATATATATGTATATTTTTATACAAAGTTTCAAAAATTTTATGGTAAATGTTAATAGTTTGCACTTTTAATATAGTTCTTTACCTTTACATTCTAGTTTGATTGGTAGTTTTCTTTTGTTAAGTGTAAGAATCCATTTCGTGTTAAAAATAATATATTTTTAGTTGAGTCCTTAAATTATTCATCACTATTTAATTCAATTATCATCAATATACCTTGGTAAACAATAGATTTCTCAATGGGCAATTGATTTGATAGTGTTACGTTGAAAATGTGATCGCCGAAATATGTGTTTGGTAGTGTATGTCTTATATTTAAGAAAAAACCGAAAAAATCGAAAAACCGACAAAATCCGACATAAACCAAATCGAGAAAAACCGACGTAATTGGTTTGGTTTGGTTCTAATATTTGAAAAATCGACTTACTTGGTTTGGTTTCTTTTTAGGGAAAAACCGATCCAAACCGAACCATGAACACCCCTAGTGAAAATCATACTTTTTTCCAACTTTATGAATAAAATTTGTTATAAATACGAAGAAGCTTATCACTTCGGTACCCAATTATGGATAAACATTACCTCCGGTAGAAGATTATCCATACCGGGTATAATAAACTTATCCTTTCGATACTCCGTTATGGATAAACATTACCCCTGGTAGAAGATTATCCATACCGGGTATAATAAGCTTATCCTTTCGATACTCCATTATGGATAAACATTACCCCTAGTAGAAGATTATCTATACCTGGTACAATGAGCTTATCCTTTCAGTACTCCGTTATGGATAAACATTATTCTCAGTAGAAAATTATCCATATCTGGTATAGTAGCAGCTTACACAGCAGCTTCCTTTCTTCTATAAATAGAAGAGATTTCAGTTCATTATGTAAATCAGTTTGAAATTTGAATAATATCAATCTCTTTCTATACTTGTCTTCGATTTATTTACTTTACTGTCATTATTTTATAACACGTTATCAGCACAAGACTCTGCTATTTTGAACATTTACTTTGAATTTAATTTCTATTTCAGTCGACGCTCCTTGAGGTGAGTATCGTTTCTGGCAGATGTTACACAATCATAACCAAGGAATAAGCACTCACTTCGTTGAATCCACGGAAAGTTGTTAAAGGGTATCATGGGTTGGAAACATATACCACAAATTTGAAGCTGTGTGTTTGAAGATGGAAGAGTCTATGTACCAAGTAAACTTTAATTATCACCGCTTAGCTCGGTTATATGCTACGTATATAATATCTGTTTTGGTATTTGTTTTCATCTTAATTATCTTAATAAAGGATTACAAAGTGGATAACGTTGTTAGATCCACTTAAACTCCAGCAGAGTTTGCAAGAAATATACAACTACCAGAAGTGATTATATTTTGTATATCTGATTGTAACTAAATTTTGTTAACCACCAGAAGTGGTATATGCCTATGACCACCAGAAGTGATAATTTAGGCTTTCTATGGTTGCAGTTGAAGATATGCTACATAGATATTCTCTATATTAAATGCACGCCTCTATTTGCTCCTGAAGTAGTAAATATTTTAAAAGAGGTTGAAGCATCACAATTTGATGTGATTAATGCACGTTCAGATTGTTATGTTCGATTTCCTGAAGGATAAGAACTTTTCATAATATTAATCCATTCCCTGAAGTGAATGTGACAATACTAATAAAGTCGCAAATATGAACGCGCTCTTAATGTAAATATATTACGATTCACCTCCAGAAGAGGTAATATGATTGAGAGAATATATACTCAATATTTCGTATTTTAAATTTGCTCCTGAAGTAGTAAAACAATTGAAATTTTCTCCTGAAGCAGGAAAATATTATGAAACTGTGTCTTTTTGTGCTTAAACAAAATAATGAGCTATTCAAAGTTATTTTTGAAGCACATTTTCATTTCCTGGAGTGAATGAAGAAATACAACAACTCACCTCCTGAAGAGTTAAAATAACAAAGGATATAAATATCATTTTTGTGGCATAAAGATCATTGCCTCACGTGCCTGTTGTACGTAAAACATCTTGGATAATTTTATTAAGTATCATTCTAAGGCAAAAGCATTCTTGTAGAATGTTTTCTACTACATATATTATGGTTAGTTATTGAGTTCCTCGAAGGAAATAATAACTCGTGTATCTTTCCTTAAAGGATGCAATGACAATGTGGTTGCCGCATTGATACAAAATAATGAGATGTTAACGATATTTCTCCTTGAAGGAGATATTTGTCACAAATTTAGTGGTAGAAATATTAAAATTCTTAATTTTTGTCATTTATAAATTTAGAATTGGCTTTATATTGTTCATTTGATTATGATTTTCTCTCATGACACTAGAAGTGTCTGAGCAATATTTGGTAGTACCAAATTTATCAAAAACTCCTTAAGAGCTAACTGTTTGTCTAGAAGACACATGACACCAGTAGTGTCTGATAAATATTAGATTGTGGATAATAAACGAAGGTTCTCGAAGAGATTATATACAAATATGTCATTCATATTATATGATTATGGTCAAAACATATGTTGTAGTAAACTAAAGTTTACCAATACAAATGACTATCATATTAAGACTACAAATGATTAGAAGATTGAAAATCTTCATATTTTCACGATCATAGGGGGTAAAATAATATGTATGTAAGAAGTTACCCGCCTTATTCTTTAATTTGTACTATATCATGTATCACAGTAAATCAAAAGTTTACTAAAGCAAAAGTAGTCACAGTAAATCAGAAGTTTTACAGAGGCTAAAGTAACTACAGTAAATTAGAAATTCGCTGATACAAAAGTAGCCACAGTAAATCAGAAGTTTACTAATGCAAAAGTTTATGACATAGTAAACCAGAAGTTTACTAAGAGATAGCACATGCCATGATAAACTTGAAGTTTTCGTTTGCCATTTTTAAATGAGCTATTTGAGAATTTAGATAAGCATAAACTGAAGAACTAGAAGATTTTTCAAGAATTCTCTTGTATTGCTTGTTCTCATAATAAATTGATTATACCAGCTAAAGTTGGGACTAAGACCCCTGATTCTGAAATATATAAAAGGTGAATATAGGCTCATTCACCTATCATGTGAACCACTTATAGATGCATATATGAGATGGTTACATGTGTAATTATTGTCAACCTGCAGTTTGGCATTTGGAATTGTTTTTCTCGATTAAGAGCATAATTTTTAGATTATGAAATCAAGACAGTTCATCTATATAATGCTGGTTTATATCCAAGCTGGATTAGCATTGAATACCCCCTATTAATGACTAAACCATTGCTTATGAGAACAAAGCTTCATGTGTTGGTCTAAGATTTTCTAAATTGCATAAGCAACGCTTGTATGCATCAGACCAACAATATATGATAAGTCCTCCCCTCCAATTGGTTTAGGATCAGAAACCAAATATTTTTACTATCTTTTGTCGCGTGGTATATGATTAATTTCTCTACCATAATACACAAAGATATGTTTTCCAAAGATGATTGGGGATATATGTTAGTTTTCTTAACATTTAAGGGATGGAATAAACAGCTGAAAAATATGCTATATGAATCGAATTATCATTAATATGATCCTCACTTAGAAGATGATTCAATTCGAATGCCAGAAGCATTTGCTAATCCAAAATTAAATATCATATTCCAGCTGCAAATGCTCCTATTAAAATTAAAGTCCCTGAAGGATAAAGTTTACTACACGCATGAAGCGTAGTAAATCTATCGGTTCCAAAGGTAACAATCCTTGAAAAGGATAGGAGCAAATGATCAAAATGATCATAATGAGGAGGAAATGAGCTCTAGGAGAGCCCATGACATAACATTTCATGAAACTCCAGAAGAAGTTCAGGTACCTGAAAATAAAGAAAGTAATTAGATTCAACAAGTTATGTCACTTGCGAACCGATATGAAATGATCGTCGACGATATATTTGATACAATATAGTGCACAATATTGTAAAAGATTGTGAGGATCGGACCAGCAGTCCAGACATTTGAAGATGCCATACCATTTAGATATAAGTCATAACCTATATGACTTATTTGATTAAATTTATATGAAGATCCTTGAAGGATTTAAAATGCCATAATTCAAAGTCTTGAGAAATGTACTCGATCAAATTATAAAGATATTTGTACGGTTTAAAGCAATCTAGGCACGTGTGATATAATCGCCTCAGTGAATATTTGCTGAAAAAAAGTTACATAAATGATGTTATTTGTCCATGTATTTTTATAAAGAAAATGTCATCAGAATTTGTTACACTTGCTGTTTATGTTGGTGATATAAATCTTGTTGGAACTCCAGAAGAGCTCCAAAAGGCAATTGAATATCTTAAGAAAGATTTTGAGATGAAAGATCTTGGAAAGACAAAACTTTGTCTTGGTCTGCAAATTGAACATTTAGCAGACGGGATCTTTATCCATCAATCTGCATATACAGAAAGGATCTTAAAACGCTTTTACATGGACAAAGCGCACCCATTGAGTACACCAATGGTTGTTCGATCACTTAAGTGAATAAGGATTTGTTCCGACCTCCAGAAGAGGATGAGGAACTCCTTGGTCCCGAAGTACCCTATCTCAGTGCAATTGGTGCACTAATGTATCTTGCTAATGCTACCAGGCCCGACATAGCATTTTCTGTTAATTTACTAGCAAGATACAGTTCTTCTCCTACACGAAGACATTGGAACGGGATTAAGCATATATTGCGATATTTAAAGGGAACTCTTGATATGGGTTTGTTTTATGCTAACAAAGATAGTGCAGATCTTGTTGGTTATGCAGATGCGGGTTATTTATCTGATCCCCATAAAGCTCGATCTCAAACCGGGTACGTGTTTACATATGGAGGTACTGTCATATCATGGCGCTCCACAAAGCAATCTATTGTTGCTACTTCTTCAAATCATGCTAAGATAATAGCTATTCATGAAGCAAGTAGGGAATGCATATGGTTGAGATCAATAATTCATTTTATTCGAGAAAAAAGGATGTGAGAAAAGACCCACAATTTTATACGAAGACAATGCTGCATGCATAACCCAATTGAAGGGAGGATTTATAAAAGGAGATAGAACGAAGCACATTTCACCAAAATTATTCTACACACACGACCTTCAGAAAAATGGTGACATTAATGTGCAACAAATCCGTTCAAGTGATAATCCAGCAGATTTATTACCTAATCTTTGTCAACTTCAACTTTTGAGAAGATGGTATACAAGATTGGAATGCGGAGACTCAAATATTTGAAACAAGGTTTTCATCAGGGGGAGTAAAATATGCGATGCACTCTTTTTTCCTTACTAAGGTTTTTTCCCACGGGGTTTTCCTTATAAGGTTTTTAATGAGGCACCTAGCAATGCGTATTACTAAATATGCGTACTCTTTTTCCTTCACTAGGATTTTTTCCCACGTGATTTTTCCTAGTAAGGTTTTAATGAGGCACATTATCTTTTAATGAACATCCAAGGGGGAGTGTTATAAATATATTATATTATGGATGTTCATTTAGTACTCCGTTATAAATAAGCTTCCTGAAGAAGCTTATCCATATGAGACTCCGCCGTAACTATGTTTATCGTCTATTTAGTACTCTATTGGAAATAAGCCTCCTGAAGAAGCTTATCACTTCGGTACCTGGTTATGGATAAACATTATCCCCGGTAGAAGTTTATCCATACCGGATATAATAAGTTTATCCTTTCGATATTCCATTATGGATAAACATTACCCCCGGTAGAAGATCCATACCGGGTATAATAAGTTTATCCTTTCGATACTCCGTTATGGATAAACATTTCCCTTAGTAGAAGATTATCTATACCGGGTACAATGAGCTTATCCTTTCAGTACTCCTTATGGATAAACATTATTCTCAGTAGAAGATTATCCATATCTGGTATAGTAGCAGCTTGCAGTAGCAGCTTACACAGCAGCTTCCTTTCTTCTATAAATAGAAGAGGTTTCAGTTCATTATGTACATCAGTTTGAAATTTGAATTATCAATCTCTCTATACTTGTCTTCGATTTATTTACTTTACTGTCGTTATTTTATAACAAAATTAAACTTACTCATCAATTTTAGACCATAGACATTCTCAATCCCTAAGCTGATACTGATTATTGACCTATGATTTTCATAAAAGCATAGTACATTCTTCCTTTAAGTTATCAATTTCATATTTTTTTAATTAATCACCTTTTAAACTTTAAAAATGTGTAGAGAATTTGCTATAAAAGTACGTAAGTTACTGCATTCTAGTTCTACTAGTGACTTTTACATGATATTTAAAAAAATTAATGAAAATTAATCGAACTGTACCGATACCAAAGTAAACCCGACATGATTGAGACGGTTTCGAAAAGTCTTCGGTCATACATAATAGAATAACCAAAAAATTGGTATGGTTCAAACTTTATAAAATAACCGGCCGAACCGAAGCATTGACACCCCTAGTTAGGATAGACATCACAATATCAATATTTAGAATGTGATGTCAATATAGCACTATGGGATCGTTTGGTTTGAAGACAAATTATGTTGAAATTAATTATGCTGGAACTAGTTATCCAGGTATTATTTCTTATTGAATATTTGGTATGCTGCATAAAAAACTTATCGTGAGATTATTATTCCACCATCTAGCAAGTATAAGTTATCCCAATACTATTTTTAATCCTAAGATAACTTATCCCAAAATTAGTAACCAAACAAGAGATAAAGTAATACTAAAATGTCATCTCAAGACTATTGTATGATCATCAACTAAGTGCTCATGTATGATCATCAATTGATTGAATCCTACAGGCTATACACACCAGTATATCGAGAATATCCAGTACCCAGTAATTGTTTCCTCCATGATACCTCAAGGCCTAGAATCTATTTTACTAAATTATCTAAAGCTGACAGGAGTATCAAAATAACTTTGACAATCGAGCACATCCTCAAATATGCTTTTACAGAAGTTACATTTTAGAATAAACTCCAAGAGCTTTCTCTAGATACCATATGTCAACTTGCAAATGACAATAGGGAACAAAACAAGATCAAATTACCTAACTCCCCTTGCACACTCTAAAACAAAGGGAACAACAAGCTATTTACCCTGGCAAACTGATAAATATTGCAGCAAGTAAAGATGACCTCAACACCAAGAAAAACGAGGACGAAAAGGAGTATAAAGAGAATTCAAAAAGATATATATCTCCTCATAAATCATAAACAAAGTTGAAGATCTATAAGATAGAAAAACACAGAAGAAAACATAAAATTACTCATAAGACTAGGCAAAAGAGCTTCTTGGATCTACACCCAATATAACATGCGTAAATAAAATCCAAAACTGTAACAGAAAAGGCCTCACAGCCATGAAACACAGAATCCGACATACTTCTTCCAACATTTTAGATTTCATCTAAACGAAATTCAGGCCAAATGGTGCTATATGTTTTATCCTAATAACGGCCAATACCCCACACTCTAATCAAGCCATCTGTGTATCCGCTGAAAAGTGTGCTTCCATCAGCACTCCAGCCCAAACTAGTGCAGTATATGACCTGGAAGATGGAGATACAATGAGGTTAGCAACATTCACAACTTATTTCACATTGATAATATTTGAACTGACAAATCTGGGAATCACGACATCATCACAAAGATTAGGTCCTAGGGTGTCCCGAAATAATTATAAAAAGAGAACAAGTTCTACATACTGAAGGTGTAAAAAGCACTTCTACACTATCATATCACTTCAAACGTAATTGCAGGTAATTCTCTAAACAAACATTAATGGCAATCTTGAAAAATGGAAAGCAAGATTATATAACAGGTCAAAATACACTAAATAGCATAAAAGAAATCTTTATGCTGTCATTGGTATAACTTCAATCCTTATGAAAATCAGGTCCCACCAAACGATAGAAATAGAAAGTTATAAACTTGAAACTAAGAATAGCTACAATCATCCCATATATCAAGGCTTCACATTTGTGCTACTAACAACAAACTATATCAGTAGAAAAGTATGGTAGAAACCGCAAAAGAAACACAGATAGTGGGAGCCATAGGTTACAAATTAGAGATGATAATATACTGTTGAAAATACTCTTCCAATTACTAACATAACTTCTAACAGGGTAGAGGATTCTATACCATGAATTCCCGAGAGCAAGAACAGCTAGAATTATTAAGTAGACAGTTATTTTACTCTAATTAGACCTTGAACTGCTACAACATTCACAAAGACCTATTTCCAACTGTTGGTCGATCTATCTATATCAATAATACACTACAACAAAAACTAATATGCACAATAAACGCATTCAAAGAACAAATAACTTCATTTGATACAAAAACACAATCCAATAAACCAAAAGTAACATTCTTGAAGCAAAAAATGAAAACAAAAATCAAACCCACCTTGTTTTTGCCAGAAGCAGTTCCCTCTGCAGACATTTCACTCTCTTGCTTCAGATCAACTTTCAAATCATCCACGATAGTCTTGCTCTCCAAATCCCAAATCTTAATACTCGACTCAGTGGCAGCACACAACCAGTACCTATTTGGGCTAAAACAAAGCGAGTGAATAATAGAACCCGACTCAAGCGAGTACAATTTCTTCCCTTCAGCCAAATCCCACAACAAAATCACTCCATCCTTCCCTCCACTAGCACACAAAGAACCATCAGGAGACACCGCAGTGGTATTCACATACCCAGTGTGTCCAGCAAGCGTAGCACGGAGCTTACAGTTGGTAAGGTTCCATATTTTTACAGTCCTGTCCCACGACCCGGATACGATAGTTGGCTGAAGATTATTCGGGCTGAAACGAACACATGAGACCCAGTCAGAATGCGAATCTCCGTCCTGAATAACGTACTTACACTCACCCAAAGTGTTCCAAAGCCTGATGCTCTTATCACGGGATGCTGATACGATCTGACGGTTATCAGCAGAAAATGCTACGGATAAAACATCCTTAGTGTGTCCGACGAAACGACGGGCAGTGGTTCCAGCTTGAAGATCCCATAAACGGAGCTCACCGTCCCAAGATCCGGAAAGAGCGAACATGCCGTCGGATGAAAGGACGACGTCTTGAACGAAGTGTCCGTGGCCTGTGAGGCGGCGGCGCGGGACGCCGTATTGTGGGCCGTCTTTTGTTATTGACCAAACGATGATGGATTTGTCACGTGAGGATGTGACGATCATATCGGAGTTGTCAACTGGGGTGGCGATGGCTGTGACCCAGTCAGTGTGGGCTCTCATTGTGCCGCGGAGGACTAGTGATTCTTGCGACATTTTGTCGAACAGGTGGTGGGTGGGTGGCGACTTAGCTCGAAGGCTATAAGCAAAATGAAAGCGAAGGAGAAACCCTAAGCATGAAAGGGATGACTTTATACGGTGGGAAGGTTTTTAGGGCTTTGGGCTTTAGCTACTGATCTGTTCTGTAACCCGGGTTAATGGTCCGATAATCCAAGAGTCCCCTAAAGAGGAAATTTTACCTGCTATAGTAAAGGGATAAACCAAAATTATTTTAAAATATTATTTTCTATAGCTACCTTTTATATTTTATTATAGCAAAATAAGTATTTATGGTAAACTATCATTGATACATGAAATAAGGCATGAAATACGCTATTTATGTTTTTCCCCTCTCTTAGACAACTGGACATACCTATTTTTAAGGTGATTGTCGTTACTGTACATGAATATATGACGCGAATACATGTGAATATATGAGCGTACAGCTGGACTGCCCTGATTTTAGGCGCTTTTTGCTGATGTATTCATGAATACATGTGAATACATGCACGTACAGCTGGACTGCCTGATTTTTAGGCGTTTGTTGCTGCTATATTCATGAATACAGCAACACCAATACAGCGAATACACTATCGTACTGAATAGTAGCTATAGGAAGTAGTTATGTATATGGTAGCTATAGAAAGTTAATAGTCACTAAACAATAGTGGTTTCTAAAAATTCCTCTTAATAAAATAGTATTTGAAGCTAAAATTGAAAAAAAAATTGTTGAAGTTGAGCTTATATTTAAAAAATAACTTCACTTAAGTAACCTTTTTATAAGAATTGAAGATTTTAAGTGAAAATCAACACTTCATTTGAGATACTATATCTTATAATTTAGCAATTAATAACTATAATTAGGAAAAAAGAATTGTAAAAATTGGAAATTTTGTGAGTAGAAATCACCACTTAATTTCAGATATATCCTCTAATAAGTATTTTAATATTTCACTTGAACATTAAATATTGTAAAATTTTATTTACAACTATTCATGGCCAAAGAGAAATTGAAATTCAGTATTTGCTAATAGTGAAATTGTTTTCATGCCCGAAAGGGTCTTTACTTTCTCTACTAGTCCAAATTATCCACTTACATTGTATACGGTCTAAATCAGGTATGTCTGATTTTATGGGCTCGAAGGGTCGCTTCAAGCCCGAGTTCAGGATGGGTCGAGTTCGAGTCCGGTGGACCAAGTTCGAGCCTGATGACATAATGCAAGGCTCGAGGATCGAAGTACACGATGGGCACCGAAGCCGAGTATGACCAACCCCGAGATGATACCGTTTATGGGTTTGTAACAGAATGAGCAAGATTCCTGCCACATCCCCAAGATCATGGCGTAAATTTCGAAATAGATTTGTACGAGTTAGTATTAATCCGTACTAGGCGGTTAGACAGCTGTCCCAATAAGATTCCTTACTGTAAATATAAATGTACCTTATTTAGGGTTCCCCTGTTATATAAAGGGGACCCCAATTATTTGTAATCATCATCAATCATTGACAAAAGAATATACTCTCTTACTTTCTTGCTCATTACTCTCCAGAATTGTCCTTTAACTTTATTGTTCTTGACCTACCTCGAGGCCACCTTAGCTCGAGATCGAGACTGGCTTGCGGGTTTGATTCTACTTACTTCTTTCATTTGTACGTTAGATTCCTTGGTTATTAGTTAGTATTGAACTAAATCACATATCTTTAAAACCATAAACAAGTTTAATTGTTACTCGTATTTTCGAGGTAAATAATTTGGCGCCCACCGTGAGGCTAAAGATAATAGTGGTTGTTTCAGTACTGATTCTGATAACACACGTTATTTTCATACTTGTTCTTGTCAAGAGTTTTTGTTCTCAGGTTAAAACATGTCAAACTCGAAAAACGTACCCGTACACAGTGACGATGGTCTTGGATTCCATGGAGAAAACAACAATGTAGGGGTTGGTGTATCACCGATTAACCCTGGGGAAGTGCCAGATGTGGAACCAGTTGATGTCAGTTCACACATTGCTTTGAATGCGGATTTAGGCGCCGACCCCGGAGGAAGTGTACGTAGGGAAGCCCGATCTAGTGGCCAAGGAACACAGGGTATAGGAGATGGGGGAGTCAGCCTCCAAGTAATATTCGAGATGCTTCAAGCTCAACAAGTTGTTATCGCTCAGCTTCAAAGTCAGCACAAAACGCCACTGGACGTACTGAACCGGTGCCAGAAAGATCAAACGGTAATGGCTCCGTGACTGACCCCACGATTATGAGGATGCTCGAGGAACTCACCAAGAGAATCGAGTCCGGGGAGAAAAAGATTGAGGATAATGACAAAAAGGTGGAGATGTACAACTCCCGTGTCGATCAAATACCGGGAGCACCCTTGGTCCTAAAAGCTTTGAATGCCAAGAAATCATACAAAAGCCATTCCCTCCGAGTGCGGCACCGAAGCCTATTCCTAAAAAGTTCCGCATGCCCGATATACCTAAGTACAACGGGATAAGTGACCCTAATGAACACATTACCTCGTATACTTGCGGGATTAAAGAAAACGACCTAAATGATGATGAGATCGAGTCGGTTTTGTTGAAAAATTTCGGGGAGACCTTGTCAAAAGGAGCAATAATTTGGTATCACAATTTACCACCAAATTCTATAGATTCGTTTGCTATGTTAGCAGACGCCTTCGTGAAGGCACACGCCGGGGCTATAAAGGTTGCGACGAGGAAATCAGACGTTTTTAAGATAAGACAGAGAAATGATGAGATGTTAAGGGAGTTCGTATCCCAATTTCAAATGGAGCGAATGGAATTACCACTGGTCTCGGATGATTGGGCAGTGCAAGCTTTTATGCAGGGGTTGAACAAGCAAAGTTCGATCGCGTCACGATAGTTGAAGCAAAATCTGATCGAGTACCCAGCTGTGACTTGGTCAGACGTACATAATCGTTACCAATTGAAGATCAAGGTCGATGATGACCAGTTGGGAGCCTCCTCGGGTTCAGTTCATCCTAATATATTGGCAGTTAAAGCCCCGAGGGATACGGACAGGGAACCAAGATCAAACAGGGAGCGACATCAGCCATATGTCGATCGGAGAAACAACGGTTCGGGGCGTAACGCTCCTCGGAACGATCAAAGAAATGATCGAGGTCAAAGCTTTCGGGGACTTATGAGTAAGAATGGTTTTGATAAACACAACGATCCAGCGGAGGCACCTCGATTATTGGAGTATAATTTTAATGTTGATGCATCGGGGATCGTATCAGCTATTGGAAGGATCAAAGACAAAAGGTGGCCCCGGCCTATACAAGCTGATCTTTCTCAAAGAAATCCAAACTTGATGTGTAAATATCATGGCACACATGGCCATAGGACCAAAGACTGCAGGCAGTTGAGGAAGGATGTAGCTCGATTGTTCAACGAGGGCCATCTTCGAGAATTTCTCAGTGATTGAGCTAAGAACTACTTCGGGGAAAGAGACGCCAACAAAAAGAATGAGCAGGAAGAACCGTAACATGTAATTCATATGATCGTTGGCAATGTTGATGTTCCACAAGGGCCTGTATTCAAACGTACCAAGGTGTCAATTACCAGAGAAAAACGAACCCGGAGTTATGTTCCCGAGAGCATCCTATCGTTCAATGACGAGGAAGCGAAAGGCATTTCCTAGCCGCACAATGACTGTAAGGCTCCGTAAAATTTTTACTCAAAAACCCGAAATCTTGTAGTGCCAAGTTAAGAATATGTGTTAGGAATTCATAAGGCTCGGACCTTTTGGGTGATCTGTGCATTAAAAAGTTAAGGAAAAATGTTTTCTCAGAAAATGCGTTTCTGCGGCCCATTATGCGATCGCATAATAGCAATGCGGGCCGCATATCTGCCGCAGAGTGGGTCAATATGTTGGCCAATTTTAGGACAACTATGCCGCCAATTATGCGATCGCATAATCGATATGCGGGCCTCATAGTCGTCACATAACCTCCTTGGGATTTTTGTATAGGGCAGTTCTGCGGTGCATTATGCGACCGCAGAACAGGTATGCGGACTGCATATTGGTCGCATACCCGGGCAGTTTATCCAGGTCTTGATGGCCACTTTTGCGGTCCCTTTTGCGGACCGCATATCAGTTATGCGGTCGCATATGCGATCGCAAATTTAGTCGGGGCTCCTATTTTCTAACTTTTAAAACCCTACCCCATTCTGTTAAAATCACCTCATTAGACCCTCTTAAGCTAATTTCTACCACTTTTAGAGTGAGAGCAAGAGTTCAAGAGGGAGAAAGTGATCTCCACCAGCCTCTACTCAATCCTTGCCCAATCCTTGAAGACTATCAAGCAAAGTCACTAGGCCTTCATCCTAAGAGGTAAGAACTTGTGCTCTAACCTTTAATTTCGAAATTCCTACTAAAATAAGTAATTAACAAATGGGTTCATGGGTATAAGGGTTGATTGTCTTGCATGCATGTATGATAAGAGGGTATGGGGAGATTGTGAGCTAAGAATGTAACAAATGGGGTGTAGGATGATAGAAGTTTTCACAAAAAGACCTTAAAATTCATAATGCACACTCAGTGCTTGAGAGTAGGCTCAAGTGAGCTAGAATATTGATTATCTCTTTAATTTTTGGATCAACTTGTAATTCTCATAAAATAGATCGAGGTGGCTAAGAGTTCAGGAATTGTTGTAAGAATTTAAGAAAAAGCTCCATTGAGGTATGTATGGCTAACCCTCTTCTTCTTAGAATTGAACTCTTGGTGTCCGAATAATTGGCGTATTTTCTGAATTGATCCTACTAAATGATCTGCCTTTATGTATTGGGGTGAAAGATTTATGTTCCATGTTTGTTCTAAGTGTTGCCCGGAAATCATGCTATTTGAAAATGTGATCATGTTCTCCAAGCTTCCCTTTTGTTTTCTTTCTTTTCCTTGTGTGCGCATGCCTTATTTGATAGCACTTGTGATATGGTCATTGACGATATTTGGGGCAAATAATAAAGTGAAAGACTTGAATAAAAAAAATGTATCCAAGTGCCAAGCATTTATTAATAAGAGGTGCGTTGTGTCATGTAATGGAAAGACGGAAAGAAACGTGAAC